TTTCAAACCATGGTACAATAATTACAGGTATTGTCTTCCTAGAAAGTTTTGCTTCACATCGAAATTCGTGCTCACTTATTTTCATTTTGATGCAGTTCATTGATTCTTTTACTTTTATTTGGCTTTGCTTTTTCTTTTCGTTCAATTTAATTTTTATAATTTTTCAAAACAAAAGTAAAAACGTTTAAAATTAAGTGAGCCATACAAATTTTTAATTGATTTACAAGCAAATATTTTTTTTTTTGGCTTTTGCAAATTGAATAAGTTCTCTGTAAGATGGTTTGTAAAAAAAATACGTGAACATTAGAGTGGTTCATAAAAACACTCTTTTTGGATATTCATAAACGCTACATCAGAATATTGTTATTTGTGATGAGAAAAGAGACACGTATTTTTTTATTTTGAAAACAAATTTTTTTAGAGGTCGCGCTGGTCGGTTTTTTATAAAAACGCTGATGCTCTCAATTTTTTTATTTTGTGACAGTTTAAAATGCAGCTAAAAATGTGGTTTTTACATATAATTACTCTGATATTATTGAGGATCATTCCCCTAATTACACACCTGTCTTGGACAGTTAGAATGGGCCTAGTTCNGTGACAGTTTAAAATGCAGCTAAAAATGTGGTTTTTACATATAATTACTCTGATATTATTGAGGATCATTCCCCTAATTACACACCTGTCTTGGACAGTTAGAATGGGCCTAGTTCCCGAAAATATTCTCTCGAAAAGACATTAGTAAAATTAAAACGTTGATACTGAACGATTTACGCATTGTCATGGGTTGGAACTTGTTACCATGGGGTTTCTGGGGTTGCTAATTAGGAATCTGTAGTCAGTTTTTCAAAATTCAAAATGGCGGATCCAAAATTGCGATTAATTTTTTTTTAATTATTGGATTTGCTTGAAAACCAGCACTCGATCGAATCTGATGTCAATTTTTTTAAATTCGAAATGGCGATAAAATTAAAAAAAAAATACTAAAATTAAAACGTTTATTTCTACTGAACGTTTTAAGCATTTTCAAGGGTTGAAACTCGTTTCCATTACGAATTTGTTGTCATATTTTCAAATTTCAAAATGGCGGTTAAGACTTTCAAACAAATCCAATAATTTTTTTTAAAGTTGGTCGCCATTTTGGATCCACCATTTTGAACTGTGAAAATCTGAAAACAGATTCGTAATCAGCAACCCAAGAAACCCACTGGAAACGAGTTTCAACCTTTGACAATGCTTAAAACGTTCAGTATCAACGTTTTAATTTTAGTAATATTTTTTTTTTAATTTGATCGCCATATTGGATTCGCCATTTTTAATTAAAAAAAATGACTTCAGATTCGTTATCGGCGACCTCAAAAACTTCAGAGTGCGGGTTTTCAAACCAATCCAAAAATTAAAAAAAAAATTAATCGCCATTTTGGATCCGCCATTTTGAATTTTGAAAAACTAACTTCAGATTCCTAATTAGCAACTCCTGAAACCCCCTGATAACAAGTTCCAACCCATGACAACGCGTAAATCGTTCAGTATCAACGTTTTAATTTTAGTAATATTTTTTTTTTTAATTTGATCGCCATATTGGATTCGCCATTTTTAATTAAAAAAAATGACTTCAGATTCGTTATCGGCGACCTCAAAAACTTCAGAGTGCGGGTTTTCAAACCAATCCAAAAATTAAAAAAAAAATTAATCGCCATTTTGGATCCGCCATTTTGAATTTTGAAAAACTGACTTCAGATTCCTAATTAGCAACTCCTGAAACCCCCTGATAACAAGTTCCAACCCATGACAACGCGTAAATCGTTCAGTATCAACGTTTCAATTTGATTAGTCTTATTTCGAGAGATTATTTTCGGGCATTAGGCCCATTCTAACTACTCAAGGCAGGTAATTAAGGGAATGTTTCCCAATAATACCAGAGTAATTATATGCAAAAACCACATTTTTACCTCAATTTTAACATGTCAAGAAAATAAAAAAAAGAGAACATCAGCGTTTTTATAAAAAACCGACCAGCGCGACCTCTAAAAAAACTTTTTTTATAAAAAAAATACGTTTCTCCTTTTTTTTATCACAAATAACAATAATTTGAGGTAGCGTTTATGAATTTCCAAAAAAAAAAAATTAGAACCACTCTAGTGAACATATATGGTATATGGGGTAGGGAAAAAGGGATATTTCCAGCAGTAAACGCTCTCTGATATTTTTTAAATAAGGCAGATCGGAATATGCGCTCTCTGGGAAGACAATACCTGTAATTATTGTACCATGGTTTCAAACCCATTTATTTATTATTTATTTCATGTTAGGAGAGCTTCTCAAACAATATAGAAGCAATTTTTTCGATTCAAGTTGTTGAAAAGTAATGAACAGGGAACGGATTTTTAGGACCTAAAAACCTATAAAAAAGGCAAAATAAAATAACGAAATAGGCTGGAAAAGGAAAAATAAAATAGCGAAAAAGGCAGGAAAAGGCACTAGGTATTGCAAAAAAGGCAAAACAAAATAACGAAAAAGGCAGGAAAAGGCACTAGGTATTGCAAAAAAAGCAAAATAAGGCACTAAAAAAGGACAGAAAATACGAAGAACAATCAAAAAATACATTTATTTTAGAAATGTTTATATTACAAGTAAAAAGAGAAAAACTATGAACTAGTTTCATTATATGAAAAATTTGTACTTTGAATATTTGACTATTTTATCCTTTCGAGTTTCTAACTCATAAAACTTTAATCTGTATAGTTGTAGTAACATTGAAACACAAGATGCATTTTGAAGTTTTCTGGCAGTATTTTCATTCGATTTTCACGAAGAAAAAGCCTTGAATGTACTAAATGTGCGCTCGACGTAAGTTGATACAAGTGGAGCCCAATTTAAATATGGAACGTTTGAAACGTTCATATTATCGGGAATAAGGGTGTTTTCCTCGCCCTTTACAATTTTATCCATACCCCTTATTGTCTCCAAGCCTACGTTAGCTGAGAAAACAGCTTTGAATTTTTCCAACACCGATTTGGCAAGAGGTCCCTGTGCTTCTATAAGCCGCATGGGCATGTGTATATTTTTTAATCTTAAAAAAAAAAATTGTAAATGCTATAATCACTTTTTTAAAGGTAGAAAAGGCAAAAAAGGCAAATATCTTAAAAAAGGCAACATCAAATGTGTAAATATGGAATCACATGGACATTCTTAATCGAATATACTCTATCTCTTTAGCAGAAAAAAAAGGCAATTTCCATAAAATCCGTTCCCTGGTAATGAATATAAAAATTCCCAGCATCCCGGGATTGCGACAACGCCACTCCGGCAAACCCGGGATCGGAAAAGGCTATTCTCTTAAGTCCTGGTCCCATGCGACCACTTACGTAATATTTTTTTGCGGAGGTAAGTTTTTGTTTTTGCATCTAAGTTTGAAGCTAAAGTTATGCTTTTCTTTCTTAAAGTTAACTATAATAAGAGCTTTAATATTTATGACAATACACAATTCGTTTTAATTATTTAGTCTAGGTTAGAACGTTGTCGCGTATACATAAATGTGTCGCTATTCTCTTAGTGCTGACCCCATTCGAGCACTAACGTAACATTGTTTGGCGGAATTAAGTTTTTAATTTTTTTTTTGTAAGTTTAAAGTCGAAATTATGTTTTTTTTTTTTTTTAAGTTAACGATAATAGAGTACTTAAATTTTTTTGATAATACACACTTTGGTTTTTGGTATTTATGGTAAGGGATTTTCTTATCAGGTATAACTTCGAAACCATAAGTCACATGAAATTGAAATTTGGTATGCAGACGTATCTATGGTAGGTGCCTATACTAAGGTATATATAAATGAGTTTGTAAAAGGGAACGTGGCACATCCCATAGGGGGGAAATTTTTTATCAGCTATAACTTCGAAACCATAAGTCACATGAAATTGAAATTTGGTATGCAGACGTATCTATGGTAGGTGCCTATACTAAGGTATATATAAATGAGTTTGTAAAAGGGAACGTGGCACATCCCATAGGGGGGAAATTTCTTATCAGCTATAACTTCGAAACCATAAGTCACATGAACTTGAAATTTTGGTATGCAGACATATGTATCTACGGTAGGTGCTTATAGTAGGCTATATATACATAAGTTTGTAAAAAGGGGCGTGGCACATCCCACAGGCGTGGACCTTTATCAGCTATAACTTCGGAAACCTAAGTCCCAAGAACTTGAAATTTGGTATGGGGGCATATCTATGGTAGGCGCTTATAGTAATGTATATATAAATGAGTTTATAAAAGGGGAAGCGGCACATTTCTTAGGCGTGGAATATTTTACCAAATATAACTTCGGAACCACAAGTCACATCAACTTGAAATTTGGAGTGCGGACATATCTACAGCAGGGGCGAACTTTGGTACAAATACATATCCATGGTAGGTGCTTATAGTAAGGTTTGTATACATGAGTTTGTAAAAGGGAACATAGGCGTGGAATTGTTAATCAGCCATAAATTGGGAATCATAATACATAATATAATACTCGGATATATAAAACTGTGTCTTACAGTCTTTCGACCATTTCGAAACGGAAAGATTAAATCGTTTTTTTATTGCCGGGATGCCGTTAAATGAAAAATGTTCATTTATAATGAATAAATCTCCTTCCGAAATAGGCATTCTACCGGAAAAGTGCAGCTATACTAAAACAGATAAGCGAATAGGCAGATGAACGGAATGTACCGTAGTAGACTAATTTTAATTTAAAAATTCGATCTATTAATAATGAAACAAGTATTTGTAGTACAGAAAATGATGACATATACATAGTAGTTGAAGTAAAATTAGTAGTAGTAAAAGTTTGGTTCATAAGGATGCCTTAATTTAAACAGAAAGAAAATAGTTTGTATTCTTTAATTTATGCTGAACCGAATATTTGTACTACTGTTTTATATTTTTTTGTTTACTCCGATCGACGTTGGGTGCTCTGCTAGTTTATATATATAAACCAATGAATATAACTTACCTAGACTGTTGCGGACTGGCGGAACCAGAAACTGTTTTTCGAGCAGATGTGCCAACTTCAAGTGAGCCTGGAATCGCGGCTAATCGTGATGGCCTTGTCGTGATTCCGCTTCCTGAAGCAACATTTGATGCAGAAGTTTTTCGCTGTGGTATTCGCGATGGTGGAGTTTCATCTATAAACATTTTACGAAAAAAATAAAGTTAGTTTAATATTGAACGCACAATATTCTTTTTGCTTAGAGCATTTTTAGTATATCCTTCAATAAAAAGTTCATTAAGGGATACCCTGCAACTATAAAGCCTGAAACAGGAATGACCAGAATTGTCGTATTCAGAGGGTCACTACCGCAGAATTTAAGAATTCCACCTGCAGTAAAAATTATAACTTCTACAAAACTAGGGGAAATACTTGAGGACCGTAACTTATCTATTTTAAAATATAGTTAAATCATTATTTAAAGTTAACTACATAAATGTTTATGGAATTTTTCGCCACCTAAGCCAATAAACTCAATGCACAACGATATACACGTGACAACGTTCGTCAGGCAGATCCCGGAGATCCCCGTATCAGGAATCTCAACACGGAGGTTCGGCAACTTGTGAACGTACATAAGCGGAAGAAGTGGGAAGAGCATCTGAAGACCTGTAAATTCTACTCTGGGAAATCTCTTTCGGCGACCGCACCTCGTCGGACCTGACAGTTTACACTGCTTCCACCGGCGGACAAAGCTCACGAGCGGCGAAGTGAGGATAGCCATCGGGAAGGCGAAAGTCTTCAAAGCCATAGGCCACGACGGAATTTGCATACTGATGCTGAAAAATCTGGTTCCTGCGGAAATGGATTACTTAACCAAGGTCTATGGCCACTCTCATCATACCAGACATCTGGAAAATGGGGAGAGTGGTCCCACTGCTCAAACCGGAGAAACTGTTAAACAAAGGAGAGTCTTATTGTCCGATAACCCTCCTTTCCCCTGTAGCGAAGACACTAGAGGCCCTTCTACTCCCGCACTACACAAACCACCTGTCCACAGTGAAGCATCAGCATGGGTTTCGTAAAGTGCACAGCACTAAACGCATTAAACACTCACATAATTCGTGGCCTTAACCGGTTCTAGTAGCGCTGGACCTGTCAAAGGCATTTGACACTGTCCACTCACTCCACGCTACTAGAACGCATTGGGACTTAAACGGTGGTCGGCGAATTATCTGAGTGGTCGACATTCGTCAGTAATATTAAGAGACAAAACTTGAAAACCGAAAAAAATTGAATGGGGTGTCCTATCCCCGGCATGGTTTAACTATTATATTTAAAAAATTCTTGCAATTACCTTCGACAGTCTGCTCTCCTTCTCGGCGCACACAACCGAAATTGTCAACAGAGTACAGAGCCGCAACAAAGTCCTCAAGTCGCTGGCCGGCAGCATCTGGGGCAAAGACATAGAAATGTTGTTGGCGACATACAAGGCAATTGGCCGGCCGGTTCTTAATTATGCAGTGCCCGTGTGGTCGCCGGGGACTAGTAGGACGCAGTGAAGCTACAAACTACTAGAACACGGCACTTCGGACTGCGACTGGATGCCTTCTGATGTCGCCCCAACACCACCTACACGACGAGGCCCAACAGTCAAATTCTTAAGTTTACTTCCATTTCGTTCGGTAGCGATTACCGTGGACTGAGCCATATGAAATGAAACAAGTAAGAGCAGCGCTGTCTTCGGCTATGCCGAAGGCTTTATACCTTTCATGAACTTCTGCAAATTTTACTTTGACAGATTACTGCTTTTGAATACATCTGCATACATCGATAGAGGAGTTACATACTTATATTTATAAAAAATCGCATCTAAACAATCAGATGTATGGAAGATATACCTTATATTAGCACCAATCTAAGTGATTTTCACTGCTATGTGATCGGTATGTAAATCGGTAACACACTTTATTGGGTTTAGTTTCCTACATAAAGGAGATATATCGCAAAAACTGGTATCTGAACAATCACTGGTATGGGAGATAAAGCTTATAAAGCAGAGATTTTGACGATTTTCCTAGTAGACTTTGTATTATTATTTATAAAATATCTTACGAAATTTACGGTTTTTAGCTGTTCAAATAAGGAGTTTTACAGTAAAATCCCATATCTGAACAATCAGATGTATGGAAAATACATATATGATATAGTCACCCGATCCTTGTTATTTTCACTGTAAATATTCTGTTAATAATGAGTGAAAATGGTGTGAAATTTCATGTTCCTAGCTGCATAAATGGAGGAGTTATAATAAAAGACCTCATATCTGAACAATCAGTTGTATGGGGTCTGCAGGTTATAGTGACCCGATCTTTGTTATTTTCACTGTAAGTCTTCTGTTGATAATGAGTGAAAACAGCGCGAAATTTCATGGTCCTAGCTCCATAAATGGATGAATTATAACGAAAAATCTCATATCTGAACAATCAGTTGTATGGGAGCTATAGGTTATAGTTACCCGATCCTTTTAATTTTCGCTGTAAGTTTTCTGTTGATAATTATTGAAAACAGTGCGGAATTTCATGTTCCTAGCTATATAAATGGAGGAGTTATAACGAAAAATTTTATATCTGAACAATCAGTTGTATGGGAGCTATAGGTTATAGTGACCCGATCTTTGTAATTTTCACTGTAAGTATTCTGTTGATAATGGGTGCAAGTACTGCAAAATTCCATGTTCGTAGCTGCATAAATGGAGAAGTTATAACGAAAAATCTCATATCTGAACAATCAGTTGTATGGGAGCTATATGTTATAGTGGTCCGATTCTTCCGGTTCCGACAAATGATTAATACATTATAAAAATACACCCACCTACCAAATTTTATCCGGATATCTAGAAAACTGAGAGACTAGATTGCATACAAACAGACAGACAGACGGACATGGCTAAATCAACTCAGCTCGACGTTCTGATCATATAAGTATACATTTTAATGGGTCTATCTCTTTTTGTTCTGGTACTTACAAACATCGGACCAAAGTTATAATACCATTTCATGCTCATGAAAGGTATAAAAAGTTTAGCGTGTGTATTTGAACACTGACGTTAAAACCAGCTAAATCGCGTTTTTTGCTTTAACTTTCTTATTCGATGTCCGATTTTCACAATCTTTATTTCGCCGAAAAGTGCGGTCAGGACTTTAATTTGCCCCCTAAAAGGTGCTGGCCTTCAAAACAATTTTGATTTATACCTTCAATAGTTTATTAATTTTATACTGTAAATCATATTCAACAATTCTATTGAGCTTGAGGCCGTTTATAATGAAAAAATGTTGTGGAAACACAAGAACAATTAACACATGGTAAATGTCATATCTGTTATTTAGGAGATCACCACATCTCCTCATCAGACTTCTTCAACCGTGGTCATTGGGATATGAACCAGCGATTTCGGATTCCAAGTCCGATGAGGAGATTTCGTGATCTCCGAAATAGCACCTATAACTTCTACCATTTTAAACTATGGTTTGTTTTCGCAATAACTTTTCATTAAAAAACGGTCTCAAGCTCTATTAAAATTGTTCAATATAATTTTTTATTAGGACAATATAAAGAAAAAAAACAAGGCGTGCTTCTTAAAAAAAAAGAAATTAACTAAAAAACAACAACTACACGATCAAGTCTAAATATCAGCGGAACAGTTTCCCTTGACTCTAGTTGGGTTGACAGCAGTGTTGCCGTTTTGATCCATTTACTTCAAAATTGATACGTGTTTGTGCAAACTTTACCTTATGTTTTTTCAACAATCTATAGTAAAAATTTGCACCCCGTTTTTTGTAAGCATTTGAATCTCACATAGTTACGTAATCCTTACCTAATTAAATGTCAGACCTGTAGCATTTTAATTATTTGAGCATCGATTCTCTTTATAGCCAGACATTGATCATTTCTGCTGGAAATCCCTATTGAAGGAGCTTACTCTTTGACTTTAAATAGCAAAGAAGGGACAGCTTTACTACAGAAGTATTTAGCCAAGGATATTACCCGACAAGTAAAAAAAAAAATACTTTTTATAAAATTTTTGCTAAACATAAATTCCACAAAGAGACCCAGTTGAAATTATTGATACGAATATATGTAACATCAAAAGCAAATCACCAAAATTTTGCTAAGAATCACAGTGCACACTTTCTTCTTTTGTGTCTAGTAGTTTTTTTTTAAGATTGGTCCGAAAAAATCACAAAAAAGAAAGAAACCAATGTAGGTATTTAAAGCACAGAGAAAAATATTATTTAAAAGACTATTTTCTCTTTGACGTACGTCAAAGGTCAAGTAGAAGTTGGAACTTGAATGACTACCCATTGATAGCTGGGTTATATATCTAAATAAGTAATATATTTAAAGACATTTTTATCAAATTTGATAAATATGATATTTGACCAGTTTTGTTACACAAATACTCCCACGAACACAGGCAAAAATATTGGCTTAAATTTGTCATTTTGTTTGCCATATACATATGTATGTATACGTTTTATCGATGCACTTGCACAATATTCGCATTCGCAAAAGCTCCGCATTAATTATTGCGAATGCGAAAGCGGATTCGAATGTTAAAATTAATGCGGAAGCTCCGCGGTTGCGAATGCGAATATTTGCAACAACCCTGATATGTACATATTAAACATCTGCGCAATTCCATTTAAACAGCCTAACAATACATCCGATCGCCGCGCAAATACTTTCCCTCCTTCACTCTCATCGTCCCAGTCAAGTGTGAGTAAGCATAAACCAGTTTCTGCACGCGTAAGTAAACTACCGACCAATAGCAAGACGCGTAGGGTATTTACTTTGCCTTCCGCAACTACTGCGCGTAAAAGGTATTTGCAAGTAGTCTACTCTACTGGTAGTACTTGAGTATTTTCGAAGAAAACATACATTTGTGGTATCTGAATAAAACTAAGGATAGGAATGTAGTGGAGCGATGAAGAGAGCGACGGAAATGCTGATATACATACATAAGTACACATGTATGTATGTGCATAGATATGTGCATATGTGCATAGATACGTATGTGCATAGATACATATGTGCATAGATACATATAAGTGTCCGCATATATTTTTTTCTCGTCACCTGCTCTGTCGCTTCACTGCAGCATAATCAAGTTGTGGCGAAAACCCTGACGAAATG